CTGCCGGCCGCAGCGGTGCCGTGGGTAGGGCGGCTTCACGGGAAGTGGCGGCTTTGCCAGTAATTAGCTGTACACCACCTAACGGCAGGCTTAAACGAAGAGGACTAGACATCGCAGGCGGGTTTTGCGTCGTAGGAGCCATGTTTAACACCCCGCCTCCCCTGCTCCAGTAATTCTTGAGTGAAGTTTTTGGCAAAGAGGCGATATCATTCACTTTTCCGGTCAGAAGGAACTGATTTGATGCAAATCTTAGATATCTCCTATTTCACCTTTTAAGCGAGTAGAGAAAGTTCAACATAAAACCTCGGATTTATTCCCAATAACTTGCAAATAGTGTGATGCTGTGTGTTTGCTCAGTTGGCTAGTAAGACAGTGAAATACGTACTCTATCATTAAAAAATACATCCAGTCATTAGAATAGCAGTTTGCATTGAATAATCGGGTCTCTCGACATCTATCTCGTGGGCCATAATGTCTCATGGGTTGTGTTAGGGGTTGCCAGATCTGGTAGCCCAGTGGAGGCGAGGCTGCTGCAGCTCCGTGCCCCCAGGTGCCACCAGGAGTGAGGCTGAGCGCGTGTTGCCAGCAGGCAGACGCGCACACCCCGTGCAACACGTATGCATGGACGCACGGCAAAGCGCAGAGCAACACGGGCAGGCACGCTCAGCGCTCACACAGACACAAACAGCTCCGAAGGTCTCTTCCTGTTGCCCTCGCTGGCTGCTCAGGATGAAAGTCTGTTAGCGGGAAATACATATATATATATACACACACATACCTACCTACCTACCTATGCACAGTGTGGACCCCTCCAGTAGCAGACCTGTGGCACCAGGAAGGGCTGAGGCAGGGGGCTTTGTAGCCCCTGTGGGGCTGCTGGGGCTCCCCCCGCCCTTGGGCCTCCTGCTCCTGTCACGGTGCACGGGGATCAGCCTTTTGTCACCATACCTAACAGGTTGTACATTATCCTAAGTGTCAGAATTTAAAAGAGCATCTTCGGTCATAGGCTTGCCAAGCTGGTGAAGAGGGCTTTAAGCTAAAGTTGCCAGGGGAGGGGAACCTCAATCCATCCCACTCCTACCAGTTTGATGCCAGGGCCAGCAATAGATGCCCCAAGCCTGGAGAAGGAACACGGGTCAGCAGGAGAGCGCCTGAAG